ACAAAAGTAATAAGAAATCTTTTCGTAACTTTTTGTTATCCATGGTTCTGGTACACTAACCGCCGGCTCGAATTCATCATGTTCCTTTTCCTTTTCATGAAAGTATATAGTATGATTTTGTTTTTCTAATTTTATAATAAATTCTTCCAAATCTAAATTTTCTATATTTTTTTCAATACTTTTGTCTGCAACCATCTTACTAATTGATATAACTTTCCCTTCATTATTAATATGTAAAATATTTCCAGAGGAACTTGCAAAGCAAGTACTAGAATTTTGTGCATTTTGTGCCGTAAGAGGTATCATTTCAACTTTGTCAGTATCATATATATCCCAGATAATAATCTTTAGATCATTTATAGAATCACTGACAATCAAAATTAATTTCTCATCGTTGTTGATGAATTCAATTAAATGGATTTTACGTATATTGAATTTTTCAAATGATTTGGATGCGATTCTCGATCCATGTTCCATAAGGAATATCCTATTAAAAAGTGATGTTAACAATTATATAAGGAAATATCGATATCACGTGCTTATCGAATGATAACTCACCCAATGGATTGAGATCCTGTAGCAATACAAAATTGTAATTCTTGTTTATCGATCGAGTAAACTATGTCGTCAAGGTTTGTGTCGTCATCACCAATCTTTATACTAGTTTCCAATCTCATTTTTCCTAGATCATAAACTGTAAAATAAGTTTGTTAATATTAATTCATAAAAAAATATATAAGGTAGTAATGTTATTTACCTTCAAGAACTTTTTTGCTGTTATCTTGTAATCTTGAGTTGTCTTGAAAATTTTTGCTGCTATTTTTGTTGTCTTTAATAATAAAATATTTTTTATAAATATGTGACAAGAGTAGACTTGTGCGATCCTGTATATTTTTTTTTAAATTTTCTAATTGCTCCTTAAACTCATCTGGATAATTAAATTTCTCTACTTCGCTAAAAGTTGTATGTTTCAAATTATATTTAAAGCTATATATACCATTATAATTCAATAAAATAAATTTTTCTAAATCTGAGTTAACATCTTCTTCCAAGCTACAAATTCTTGATAGTCTATTAGTAAAGCTTTTAACCTCTTTCTTAGTCTCTTTCTTTGCCTCTTCCGCAAATCTACAAATTCCTGATAATCTATTATAATTATATTTAATAAAGTCAACTTTATTAACGTCGTCTTCATTTAATTTAAGACAACAAATAACGGTTTTAAAATCTGTTGCATTTTCCGAACTAAAATTTATACAACATTCTTTATTACTCTCAAAATTTTTTGCAACCATTGTGCTAATCTCATTCTCTATTTCCATATTTTGGTCAAGTATTCGAGAAGCTGCTATGAATATAAAATTTCCGTCATTGGATATGTCGATCGACCATCTATCTTTGACGATAACATTCAGATTTTGGGATGGCGGAGGATTATCGTAAAATTCTTGGATAGATAAATCATCATCCTTTATTTTAAAGTGAGCAATGATATTATTTTGTTCTCGATTATAATCGATAGTTTTTAAAATTTTAACGTGACGGGTTGCTAAATTTATAAAAAAAAGTATGAAAAAAATTTTTTTAAAAAATAAATGAACCAAAATTCTAAATAACGCTTACCTGCATCGAACGTTGCAGAATATTTTCCATCTCGACTAATTGCTATATAAAATCTATTCAGAATACCGTTTTTGCAAGAAGGTTCAGAAGACATTTGTTTTGTTTAAAAATCTTTTTTTATATCAAGAAATTTAAGGGACAATTGTTGTGAGGAAATGAATAAAGCGGAGGAAAATAGCGATTTTTATTCATTTCAAAACGTTTGTAAAATCACAACTTTGTGGAACGTAATAAACTTGATTTAAAGGCCATAAAATGTCGAGATGTTTTGCATGTATCGTTCGGAATTACAACTCCTTTCGTGCTGAATCTTGCATTCATTTTATTTTTCCCTTTGCAGTAAAATCAAAGCCTTAATAAGTAATACTTTTATGATCTGAACAAAGAACGTTACTTTATATTGCAAGATTTTAACTTGCTTAAAGAAAATTTGTGTTTCATATCATAAAAAATTTTTTCCCATTTGAATAATCAAAAACTTACACTAGACGCCTCATGAATCAGATCGATAAAAAAAATAATCTTAAAAAATGCGATATGCAGATCAGAATTAAATTAGAAATTCACAATAAATATCTGTGCGTGGTCAAGTCAATTTAAAACCCAAAATAGGCAATAGTTTTGTTGAGCAATTCATTTGCAAACCGCGAATATAGTATAGATCATTTGAAATCTAAAAGACAATAAGATAGAATTGGAATTGTTTTGTTAAATTTTATTACTGAAACCAAAACTGGCGATGGATAATCCGCAAATCATTCTTGGACTACTTTATGAAAGTAATTATGGAATTGAAGAAAATAAGAATGAAACATTTAAATGGTTTGGTGAGGCGCCAATTTACCCGGGTCATTTGTCCCGACTCGAGAAAATATTCGAGTCGGGACTATCATTTTATGTCACGATTCCTAATTTCTTAAAACCCGTCGGGTCACGATTTTGCTTGACCTGGGTGACCCGAAAGATCAGGTGATATTTTTAAATGATATAAATGGTACGCGACTTTACAATTTAAATAATGAGTGAAACTATCGACCTTATTAATTCCGATAGGACTGCTTCTCTTGGAAAACGAAAAGCATTCGCGTAGAGAAATTTTCCAAAGTCTTTTTTTAAAAAGGAACTTCTTCTAGCTAAATACAAAAATTCAAAATCCATCGAGAAGTTAGATGTCTTAACTGCTCATATCTATTATTAATAGGGTATATTACAGGTAATTATTATTTTTTTTAAAAAATTTTAAGGATATAAAACATGGCTCCGCAATATTGGTGATTCAAATATAACAATTTTTGGTGTCATTTGGAGCGCAATCATTCAAATAAAAATGAAATTATTTTAATAACAACGAGTGTACTTGTCGAACGAGATTAGATGTTATCCTAAGGCCGATAAATTCTTGCGTGCTTGGTTGCAATAATATATTTAAAAAATCTAATTTTGAATCAAAAGCTTTAAAAATAATATATTTTCAAATTTAATACACTTTTTTCATTATCTGTATAAATAAATTTTTTTAGTTTGGTATTAATATTACCCCAAAAATTTGAATCAAATATAATTAAATCAGAAAACGATAGAAACTTGTTCCTGTATACCTTTTTGCGTCGTTAATAACTGAACGACAAAGCTTGACGAATTCTTCTAAAGATGAGGCATTTTCGACATAGCAACCTTTGAGGGATGAAGTAGAGATGATTGAATTTTCCGCGGCCTTTTTAATGTTGAATTCAAGTTTAATGAGCCTTGATCGTTATTTTTCATGATGATGTTGTTGTAAGGTATAAATAAAAGAGAATAGAAAATGAATATAGTTTGGTAACTTCTTGGGGATATATTAGAAATTTTCAATGAATTATCAAATATTATTGGTAAAACAATAACTACTTAATTATTCCGGAATATATAAAATCCGTTTGTTCGCCCGCTCAAAAATTGAATTGATACGTGATTGGTTAGTTTCGTTACACTTGTCCCGGACTTAAAAACGGATCTGTTCCCTCGTACAGTATATATACTTTATAGTTTTAAACAATTAAAAAATTTACTCCTTTGGTGTTTCACAATAGATGGAGCACAAGCATATGCAATAAGATGAAACTTCCCCGATCTTGTTCAATTGAAATAACATAACATTTTTCATTCAAGGTGCTAGGTACATGTATATGCATGATACATAAAGTACATACAGTATTACCAAAAAAGGTTGTTTTCTATAAGATTTTCAAAAATCATTATTATATGATTAGTGCGACTGAATTTGACTGACTGCGAAAATTAAATGATCTAGGAATTATGAAAATCAGTTATAAACTTTAAAGATACTGTAAATCGACAAATAAATGAATAAAATAAAAATAAAATTTCTCATAAAATTTTTTCTAAATAAATAAAATATTTTATATCATGTTTCATAATTTTCATGTGTTAAATGTGTTAACTCTTTTGATATTTTCACCACCATTTATCATCACTCATTTTCCATGTAATGTAATTAAAACTATTTTTTTTTTTAAAGTTGCAGTAACGTATTTTTCTGACATTGACCACGTGACTGATTCCTAATTAAATGAATAAAATGAGTGACATATGCAAGTTCACGTTATCGAACACGTTTTATCATTCATCAATAACAAACATTCCTTGTTTTGTTTTTCTGGTCCTATACAGAGTTATGCATTTTGATGAAAAATTACGCCCTTACGTTAACTATATTCGGCCTTCGAAACTATTTAAGTTTCAGCTATTCAAGATTACCATTATTATACATTCAAATAAGATCTATTCTTGGGTATAAAGTATATTATCATTGAAAATTCTTATTTTAATGTGTTGAAAGATGGGCTGAAAAGCTTTGAATGCAAAACTTTAAACAGGTATTAGCATGCTCATAGGTTAATACACATTACTGTATATCTTTGTTTAAAAAAAACGAAAGTCAATATTTAATACATATCGGAAGAAATTATCTTTAGATTTATTAAGTTCACTAACAATCGATTCAATATTTTTTGATTAATACAGTATATTGGTCAATCAATTCCAATCTCCCATCTTATTGTATAGATAAATGTACAAAAAATAAATAAATGCATATTTGCTTGCTTTCATTTCAATTTCTGAACCTTATGGGCGCAATACTATGTTACTCAAATATGTAGTTATTAAGACTAGAAAGCGAATATGATAAAAAAATTTTTCTATAAAAATACCTGAAAAATCCTCATCGAAGGAAGAAAAATATTTTTTTTTCAATTAAACAGACAACTTGTTTCACACAATTTTCTTTTTCCCTGCCACAGAATATTTAAATTCACAATTTTTTTAATAAATTTAAAATAATCTTTGTAAAAAAACTTTTTTTTCCTCATAATATTATTTTGCAGTATGTCCGGTAAGTTTAATCGATTATATACATTTTTTTTTATTTGTATTTTAAAATTTTTATTGAATTTTTTTTTTTTTAGATTTATTTGAATGTTATAAATTGCCATATGGCATTTTCGGAATACTTAGCTGGTCCTTTACAACTGCAAAAGTTATTTATACTCACTGGATTAGTGAAAAATGGAAGTATAAGCATGATAAACATGAACTAATACAAGGTTTTTTAATGGCCACTTATAGTATTATGATAGTTGGACCAATTATTTATGCGTTAATTAGTTGTCACGGAGAATGGTTTATGATACTTATATCACTTGGACAACTATCTGGATGGGGTTTTTCAATAATTAGTAAAGGTATCATGTCTGATAAAAGTGATGCAAAAGAAGCTCGGGAACTTCGTGAAGTTAAAAATAAAAAAATACGTGAAAATTTTACGTTTTTGCAGAGAGTTGGAAATTGGACCCGCATCGTAAAGAATGATGAAATACAAGCTATAAATAGGGAAATAGACGGCATAAATGAACAAGAAAAGAAAAAGCGAAAATTAGATCTTCTTATTATATATTCGGGTGTAATTATAGTATTTTTATCATCTATTCTTGGTTGGATAGGTACAACAGGACTACTTTATTATTTGTATAAGATAGAAGGAAAGATTGTTCTTTGGACATGTATAATATATGCAGTAGCAATATTATCAATAGTATTAGCGGTTAAAGGTTATACCTATTTTCAAGTGTTTGCATTATACTTTACAGTAAGTTTACATATCGTAATAACATGTATTTTGATTGCTATAACTAATGGTCATTGGATTGGTATTGAGACTGTAATTAAAAAAGCAATTTCAACTGTTTTTGTTATTGGAAATTTTTTATCTTTAGTTGAAGAATTTTTTATCAGATTAAACTAGGAAATTCACACTTTTAATTGTTTCTTTAATTCTATTATTTTTTATTTAATAAATATTTGGCATTTTGTATCACTAGAAAGCCTGGATTTTAGATATATACGTGAATTCAATTTGACGCTTCACGCATGTTGAAAAGTTTGTGTTTGATTTTTATTAGTAAATTCGCGATAAATCACCTTTTGTGTACTGCGCCACGCGGATTAAAGAATTTTGTTTGTTTGTGATTATTGTGAAAAGTAATATTATCAAAAAAATAAAATAAAATAATTTTTTTGAGGTCTCGCTTAAAATTTAGTATAAAAAATGCAAAAAAAGTGTGATGTATTTCTTGATGAAACCAATCATCCTTAATTTGTTCTAGTGAGACTCATTTTCATACGACTTTTCTTTTGTGTGTTTTCAAAATAATCTATATGTCATTCATGTACTGCCGATTTCTCAAGTGTAAAATGCCGACGGATACTAAATATAGAAATGATTTGATAAAGATGATCATCAGTAATGCTTGCCCAGACATTATAAAAATGGGCCGGTAATTTAGGCCTGTTGACATCTGAGGAAAATCGACACCTAATAATAAATCATTAAACTTACTAATATTTTGTATTAATTCACTTAAAATAATTCAACTTTATTGTATCTCTGGTTAACATCAAATTAAAATAGTCGAATTCATCACTTTTTTTTTTATTATTATCTGCAAAAATTCCACTCCATGTTCTTACAATTTCAATAATTTTTAACTAGTGCAAGGTTCGGCTGATAAGTTCGGTACGACAATCAAATATTTCCCACGGTCTTTATTTTAGATCAGCACGTTTTTATCGCATTTCACAAAAAAAATGCTTTAAAATTTTGCTTTCCGGAATGTAATGACGTGACGTAATATTACGTAAATTTTGTCATAATATTGCTTATATCACCTCCTAATTTCTTGAGAGGTGATTAGTTAGTTTTAATGTTAATGCAATGTAGTAGATCAATTCCAATAAAGAATTTATTAAGAAAAAGAAAAAGGATTTTATTGATAGAGTATACAGAATTACAAGGATTTCCGCCTCTGCCGGCATTCTGTAATAGGCGTAAGGAGAATAGAACTATCTAATTCAAATTTCCTTTCCATGGCTTTGTTATGGAATTCTTAATATGCTTGCATATGCTAATTAGTTGAATCCTGGTGTCAAAAATGTTCACTTTGACATATATTCCATTAGTCTGAGTTTGACTAGCGTAAAGGTCAATTCCATCAGAAATGATAGAAATCGATCATTAATACCGCGGTGATCAAATTTCAGATGGAGTTGTATTGTAAAATTGGTAATTATCCCCTATTACCAGTTAAGTTAGAAATGATTCATAATATTGAAAATTTACTTATTTTAGAATATATATCTTGAGAATTGAAATAGAAAAATTGTATCCAAAAGAAATGACTGACCATCGTAGATATTATACTTGCAAGTTAAATATTACAAACATTACATTTTTTTATTCTTGTTGCTAACTAACTTGCTACAATTTAGTTTCAAATGGAAAAATTGTAATAAGTAATGTTTTAATATTATAAGCAATAAAAAATCAATGGATAATTCCATTTGCTTCTGAAATGGAACCATCACTGCTTAATCATCACTATGCAGAACTTGTAGAAAATAGATACATCATGTTTAGTATGTCTAATATTTTTATTTTTAAAAAAAGATAATATGATTTATTTTAACTTTTTCAGAAAAAAGAACTGATGATTTAACTCATTAACTTATTTTATGAATTACAAATTTTACTCCAAATCTGCATCATCACTACCATTTTCAACATATCACAATTATTTACAAAAAAATTCTATTATCCAGACTGGCGGCATCAGATTTCTCTGATTTCTCTAATGCATCAGGAAAGTATTTAAGGTGAAATATTTCACAAATAATACTTTCCGTTGTTAAGATTAAATAGTTACTCATTAAGTTAACAAAGATTATTTGCTAACAGTGAGTTTAAGTATGTCTAAACTTTAAAAGAAATAAACATGAATTTATTAATATTGAAGGATCAGGTCATCTTTATTGATATAGATAGAGCTTCAAACAGGTCAGGTCAGGTTGGGTATTAACTTGATCTAACCTAATAAGGTTAGGTCAGATAAACATAAAATTAAATATACATTTGACCTGACCTGATCTGTCTAAAAAAAGGAACTAAACAATTATTAATTTTGTTTAATATTTTTTTTAAAAAAAATATTGATACATTCTTACATTAATTATTTTTCAATAAAAAAAAGATACTAATATAATTATTTTAACTGCAGAATTTAAAATTACAAGTTACGATAAATCTGCAAATCTGGTGACTAATACAATTACAAAAATGTTCATAACTTTACAACTATTAATTCAATCATAATAAAATTTTATATGCACATATTTTTGAACCCGCTAAACAACTTTACATATGCTACTAAAGTTAATTTCTTTTGACTAAAATACTTAAATTGCTTTTTGATATTACTATGCAAATAAAAAATAAAAATAAAAAAATTCATATAATTATGAAAAATGTGCATAACTTACAATCATTAATCCAATCATAATAATTTATATGCACATATTTTCAAAAATTTATAACCATTAATCCAATCATAATAAGATAAATGCATATATTTAAATCCGCTGAACAATTTTACTTATGCGACCAAAGTTGATTTCCTTTAATTATAATACTTAAATTGTTCTTTGAAGTTACTATACAAATAAAAATAAAATAAAAAAATTCGTGAGATAATATAAATATGAAAAACGAATATAACTTTATAACCATTAATTCAATCATAATAAAATTTATATGCACATATTTTCGAACTCGCAGAACAACTTTACTTACGTGACCAAAGTTGATTTCTCTTGACTAAAATACTTAAATTGCTATTTGAATTACTATACGATCAAAAAAAATAAAAATATTTTGTAAGATAATATAATCACGAAAAACATTCATAACTTTATAACTATT